GGTCAGCAAAGTGGTTCTCAATTGTCAGCGATGGGTGGTCAAACGACTCAAACGAGCATATCGTTAATTACGTCGTCATTGTTCCAGGCTTCAAGCCATTTTTCCTGAAATCAGTAAGCACAGGTGGAGTTGTGCAAACCTCGAAGAAAATAGCTGCCGGTATTTTGGAAGTGATAGGGGAATTTGGTCCAGATCGCTGTCTCTCGGTGGTCACTGACAACGCCCCCAACATGCGCGGAGCGGGGGCAATTATTGAGAAGAAATACCCAACGATCTTTGCCAATGGATGCGGTGCTCATGTCTTAAATCTATTGATTAAAGACGTGTGTAAAATCCCTGAGTTCACCGCTGTCCTTGCCGACTTGAACGTCCTGGTCAAGTTTGTCAACGACCACAAGTTGGTCGTCGCTGAGTTCAAGAGACTCCGTGACGTCTTGACTATTCAAAAAGGTCTCACTTTACCTTGCCCGACGAGGTGGTATACCCACTTCAATGCTTGTGAAAACCTGTACAAGGCGAAGCTGGCTGTTCGCAATCTTGCAGAGCCAGGCTGTGATCACATTCTCAAAGAAATACAGAACAAGGATGCCGTGAACACATTCCGACGGATTGCCAACTCGGGCGCATTCTGGCGCAAACTGTTGCAGTTAAAAAGGCTACTCAGTTTTCCGTCGAAGCAGATTGGAAAGCTCGAAAAGGATGGAGGAGATCTCTTTCAAGTGTATTACTGCTTCATCCGTCTCAAAGATACATGGGTTACAAAGGAGTCGCTCTGGCATGGCGATGATATCGGAAATCGTTTGAAGGACATCGTCCTTAAACGCTGGTGCTTCGTGCATACCTTTTCGATGGGGTGTGCATATCTTCTCACACCCAAATCCCAGACCATGACGTGGGACGCAACAGACAAGATGGACACGACAGAGCAGTTGCGCGACTACATACCATTGTTTTACACGGATCCAAATCTGGAGAAAACCTGCAACGATGAGCTATCCGCATACATTCTTCTCGATCTCAACTCCCCGAGCGACCTTTACGAAAAGTACACGAAGTTGCCAGGACTGGAGTACTGGGTCCATTGCGGACGCATGATGTTTCCATTGCTGGCGCCAATTGCCATCAAAGTTTTGAGTGTACCAACGTCCTCGGCTGCTGCAGAACGAGTGTGGAGTGTGTACTCCTTTCGGTGGTCGAAGCGACGGAACCGAATGAATGCTGTCACAATGGAAAAGCTGGCGTTCAACTACATCAACAGCAGCCTACTCGACTCAGTGGACACGTACGACTACTTTGGTGAAGAACTGGATGATATCGACTTGTTCGACGATACTAACGACCTGGATTCCATTCCAGATCAGTTAGATGTTCAGTATGCCGATAGCGAAGATGATGATCTTTGATAATATGTCAGAGGTTGTTGCATGTTGTATGCCTACAGTTGAAAAGTGTGTATCTACTGTATGTATCTGTGTACCAAACTTTATCTACACGTATCTTGCACACACTAAGTATGTATTAATACATGTACATGTTTAATACTTAGTTACTAGATCTACATGTAAATTTTTTGGCTGGGACTGTTTTCTTCACATTACGAAGCGGAGCTTCACTGTGAAGCTATGTGAAGCTCACATACATGTATTTTTGGCCAGATCTTCAGTTGCGGGTTGTGGAGAACGCTTTAACGAACATTATTGGCCACGGTTCCTTATCACTATTATTATTAATAATTGAAAAGGAAGAAAAATGTCAAAAAGGCGACTGTTTACTTCCAACCTTCTAAAACGGGAAAGCATTCTCGAGTCGCTTCAAGAAAATAGTGTCCTTGAACGGCACTTCGTCTATATTCGTGAGCCACACGTTACCGTCGAGTGCGTCACTGTTCAGCGTATAACGAGCTGATACGGTCATCTGGTCCCAAGTGATAAGATCCTGGATTTCTCCGGTCTCCTTGGTCAGTTGCAGAGCCGCCTTGCTTCCTAGAAAACTGAAATACGAGTCAAGTTTGATACTCGATCCGTGAATGTACTTGAGCATCGGGGGAGTTGCCTTGGCGTGACCGACACCCGCAGACATGGACACGCCCTGGATTGATGAGTTGGTCGACGTAGGGGTATCTGTCCAGACGACGACGTACTCCCAGTAATGACGGTGGCCAGTGAGCCCATAGCGGCCTTTGGGGAAGTACCAAGCGTACATGATGGCCCATTTGTTCTTGTACCAATCCGAACGAGAGTACACTTGTGAGCCCAGCGGAGAGCCCGTGCAGTCTCCATCAGCAGGTCCTGGCCATTCGAGACCGCCACTAGCATAGCTGTTGGGCTCGACGGCAGGGTACGGGTGACATCCATACGATATGTGGAGCTGGGGTTTGTACTTGACAGCAGACTTCTGTGAGTCGGTGATTGGTAGCGGCTGGGCGAACGGCTGCACTTCATCGTGGTTGACTCGGCTGACTTTAGCATTGGCAACAGTTATGGAAGCGACGGCGGCGATAAGGAAGGCGCGGAGGTTCATCTTGGTGGAAGACGACTTCGACTAGAAAAAATAAACAAGTGGTCGGTACTTCGAAGGCGGCAGATTCAAGGAGAAGTATACTGTCGATACAATACAGGACACGATACGCTGTGCAAGACCCAGTCTCAGGCTCTTTTCAAGACGATGATTAGAAATAATACATTTGTGGCGCAAATCCGTGCAATTAATGCATGTAAAAAAACCTCTACAGTAAACAAAACATGTCATTTTGAACAAGTTCCCAGCACTACTGTTACAATACCGGCCATTTGCAACCGAGGTTGTATTGTCGGAGATCGTCGATCATTGATTGGCTGATGTCATGGTGTCAGCTAGAATTGTTGGCTGCTACAGTCGTGCACCTCCAATTCGGCACCGGTATCAGTCGATACCCTGCCAGATTTTATGATTACGCGAATCGGATGCGCAATTACCTTTGCCTATCACCACCCTAGCAATTAACCTCAACGGTTTTCCCCTACTCGCCGAGGGATGACACGCCGCATCGATCTGATTTTAAATTTTGGATCGGACGTCTTCTTACAAACACACACTTTAATTTTTACCGCCAAATACAATGGGACATCGCCCTTCCTCCTACATGTCACACAAAAGCAGTCTTTGTGCGGGAAGCACAAGTCAGATCCTGCATGCTCTCACTCCGAACTTGCTCGTTGGGCAACGGAGCGCTTTTAAGACCCCCAACTTGGGGGCCCCAAGCAGTAAAGCGCACTACCGTCGAGAGAATTCTCAAGCGGTCCACGGAAGTTGCCGCCTTGCCGGACACCTATCGCGAACCGGAAGCGCTCTTGCGCGCCCGCGACTCGCGCGTCTGACGCCAAGATTATGCAGAAGATTGGCGTATATTTGGTACTGAATTAACAAATAAAATATCAGTGCACTGGATTTGCGTTTGTTTTTTGCTTTATGTTGTGCACTTATGCCCTGGCACTGTTGATATGGTCCGCCCTGCCGAATTGGAGGTGCACGACTGTACTTGTGTAGCCTGCTCGATAGCAGACGCTGGCGCGCTAAGCAACTGTAGTCAATACAAAAAGCAAGACGGTTGCATTGCAGAGAGCCAGTATACAAATATCGTGTCATCCCAGGCTACACGGGCGTATAACAAAGGCATTACGATGATGGGACGCAGAAACACTTAACAAAGAAACCGGACCATGACAAGCCGCTACAGGCCCAAGCTCGTTAAGTTTATGTCCTATAAGGACAATGTCTCGTATAGTAAGGACCACACGTTCACGACGGAGGCGCTACTTCGTATCACACCAGAGGACTTGTGTCGTTGGATGAACAGGCAGACGTACGGAGATTCAGAACCAAGTGATGAAATAAGGCCAATACATCGCCGCTTGACGACTCTTGAGCTCACGAAGAAGGCCATTTCGTCGTTCATGCCACGCATTAATTCAACATGGGATCCAATAACAGAACGTGGAAACCCTACCCGATCTGATACAGTGAATAAGGTAATCAAGAGAGTGAAGAAGTTCGAGGTTCGGCGCGAATGATCTCAGTCCAAAGCCCGCCGACCCGTGGAATTTTACGAATTCATGAACCTACTCCTACTAGTACGAGCCCACTGGGAGCGTAATGATAAAGCGTACATGGTGGGCAGTGTGCTAAGTCTTTAATGTCATATTTGTGCTCGGATCGATGACATGATGAAGTTGCAGCTCACTAACTTCTCGCCTAACACTCAGTACCCTTCAACACTCCTTTTTCAAATGCGATGATCAAAGAACATACGAGAAGAGCGTGATTCCCCAGAGCAGCTTATACTTGGCAGCATGGACCCCAAGATGTGTGTTCTGCTTAATCTCGCCGTGTACGCTGAGTCAACAGCGAATATGGCAGGCTCAGAGTATATGCACGGCAATCCGAAAGACGGTGACCGCAATGTACGACGATACTTAACCGATATGATCGATAACGAAGCCTTCAAGAAGCTGAAGCCAGGCAATTTAGAAACGCATAGTCTCCGTAAGGGTGCAGCGACGTATGCAACGAGAAGTGGCATCTCAAAAGACTTCGTGAGTTTGCGGGGTCGTTGGAGAACACGCAAGGGTGCTGTCGATGTTTACGTCGATAATTCTGAACCATATCCCGATGCATTAACTGCAGCACCATAAGCGGTACCTGCAGGCCCGTGCTTTTACGTAGTGAAAACTGGAATTGGTTGCATCACCCCAGATTTACTCTGTAACCAGATTGCACCGACATTTCAACAGCTCATGGGCGATTCAATTGCGGCAGCTTTAGCATTAACGTTGCTGTGGGCAGCAATTGAACCGTCGGGCGCGTACGAGTACGCGCTGCTGCCAAACAAGCTCAAGCAAAGAATTGTAAGCGTGTACATGAGCGCTGGAGGAAGTGCAAATCTTAATCCTGTACAGCGGGAGGAATTTTATGTTGCTGGTGACGGCTCTCAATCAACACTAATCCCCATCGGCAACGATGAGAGCACTGACCAAGCTCAAGTAACAAGTTATCAGCGACCACATGCAGCGAGATCGACAGGAAGTGAGGGCTCAAGCCGCACTTTCGCGGCCCTCCACTCGCAGATTGCTGCTGGACGACGTCATACGACAGAAGTGATGAGTAAAATTCAGCTTTACGACACGAGCTTCAACGCGAGCAACAAAATCCACAAGCAGTATTAAGCCGATTAGCAATTCAGGGATCTTTCACCAGAGGAGCTGTGCCAAATGCTGCCCAGAACAGCCCAGCAGTGACATCAACTACTCGACGTTTGCCCGGAGCCAGACTCTCAAAGCAGCCCAAGGATCTGTACGAGCTATGGCATGAGTATCAATTCGGGTGCGGCGACTTTAAAGCAGCGAAGGACTTCACAGCCATTGAACGAGGCGCAAACAAGTTCGCATTCTCACGGAGAAAAGTGTTTTGGGACGTCGTGTCAAAGCTGGTTCGGTCGGGTTTCACGAGTGACACTGCGATTGACAAAGTTTATACTGATTATGGTAAGCAGCTTTCGGTAACTAGCATCTTAGGAGCTTTACGAAAGGACCGAAATTGAGGTGGGCATCTGGGTCTGCGAGTGTAGATCTGTACACTTCAACACAATCATTTCAATCAATCAAATCTGAGTAGCACGTTTAGTTGCAAAAAAGGCATGCATTCTTACAGTGTCTCGGTTCTTATAGTCGAATCGGTTGTCGAGATAGCCACGCATCTGAAAAATGCTCTGACAACATGCAAAAGTTCTTCGGTGCATTATGGTAACGAGTAAGAACTTTTCGAAGGTTTCTGCATAAATTCCAGATAAAGGGTCAAATAAAATCTAGATAAACCTGTAACTAGATTTTTTGGCGGGGGGAGGGTATTATCTTCAAAGCTAAAGCTCTGACTTATTACTCTGTATCTTACAAAAAGTACCTTCGTATTCTTTCGACTAGCATTTGCCCGCAATGGCTCGGACCTTATGCAGTCGCTCATTTGGCCCCTTGGGCGACGCTGCACCAGCTGTGTAAAGCGCGAGTGCCCCCGTTACGTTCCATACCAGCAGATCCACGTTTTCTGAGCTTGATTTCTCGCCTGACCACGTCAGCTTGTATGGTAGACCGGAGTTTTCCGAAAAACAAATTTCAGGAAAAAGAAGTTTTTTTTCTAAGTATCTTCACCTAGACGTTTTTGCTGTAGCACGTGTTCTTGAGTTGGCGCTTCATCGGTCGTTGACTCCGCCTCCATCGAAGCTGCGCATATCGCCATCACCGTGAGCTTAACGCACACTAGGAAAAGCTAGGCGCCCACTTCACCAAAGACGGAGATCTCGGCACCCTCCCCCGATGACAATCTACTTCCGGCAACGAACTAGTTCGCCGCTCCAGAATCTCTCGAAGCCACTCTTAGCACGCAGTGTGGTCTAGGTAACAGCGCGTTCCCAACTGAACCGGAAAGAGAAATTATGCGACGACAACCTGAATGGTCCTAGCTGAACCGGAAAGAACAAATATGCGATGACAACCTGAGTGGTGTTAAGTGACTACACGTTATTCTCTCTTTGAGAGTGACGTTATGCGACTTCAAGTAATTATCTCTTTCTCCAACCGATATTAGTGTCGTACGAATGTCGACCGAGGTTACGCGCACGCAGTACCGTGAAATTAATCCATCAGGGCCGTCCATATCTCATTCTGAGGTATTCTGACCACTCTGCTGCTTAATATTCCGCTGTTCCTGCTTGGCTGGAAAATGCTTGGAGGCAAACAAATTATATACACCGGGGTAGGGATTGCCTCGCTAACTTTTTTCCTATGGCTCTTTGAAGTAATGATTAACCGCGGCTGGATCGTC